CTTAGGCATCGGAGTCGAACTAATCGGATATTCTTTACGTGTATTAATATTTTTTAGTTTACTGGGAGAGATTTTTGGTATGGGGGTGCGTCTCAGTTTGCCAGTGCTGTCCTTTTGTAATCCGAAAGTAACATTTATATCTCCAGTTGTTTGTGGTTCTTGATCTAAATCAGTTTCATTATGGTCTATATCTATTGTTTTTGCGGGGATGTTTATGTTTTCGGGTGGGGACTGTGGGTTAATTATTGAAAAGTCGTGTATAAATGTTTCTTCCTGTCGCGTTGATTCGGTCGGTTGTTGATGAGCATTACTGTCCTGGCGTTGTTTTTTGTCAAACTGAGCGTCATCTTGAGATAAACTCAAGTCACGTTTAGTAGGTTTGTCAACTTGATTAGCACTAATCACACTGTTTTCATTTGTCCCGTCATTCGTATCGTAAAAATCATCTTCACATCCGCATAATGTTACATATTTGCCACACTTATCGCACTTGCTCGTTTCACATTTGAAAGCCATATGTCCATACACTTTACACTTACGACACTGTATTTTTGGGCATTCCTTTTTTTCGTGATCAGGTGAAAGACATTTGAAACATACTTTAGATTGGTTGTTGTGTACCACCTTAAATGTCTGTGGGCCGCTTGGGAGTGTATTTTTTTGGACATCGATATGAAAACAAGACGTCCAATCATTTAAAAGACACATTGATAAAACCTAGTTAATGCAAAAGTTACATGGAGATGCCGGGGATCGAACCCGGGGCCTTTCACATGCAAAGCGAACGCTCTACCACTGAGCTACATCCCCAATCATGCTCAATGAAAGACAATAACCTGCATGAGCGGACAGACTAAGGGTAAGGGTTTGGCTGGGCTGGGGTTTGGTTTAGGGTTTAGGGTTTGGTTCAAGGTAAAATATCATAGTTACACAAAATAACATGTCGCTGCGAGCAGGATTCGAACCTACGCGGGTAGAACCCATTGGATTTCAAGTCCAACGCCTTAACCACTCGGCCATCGCAGCAGATGACTGATTGGCAATATGGAAGAAAATTGGAG